TATATATATATATATATATATATATATATATATATATATATATATATATATGGTAATACCCGTTTTGAAAAACCTCGGCTGGCTCAACTTGTAATATAACAAATTGATGTCTGAGGAAAAATTGGAAATAAAAAAGAAAGAACTAAGAACATAACACTGGACGAATCCTCTCGTCAAGTGCTTGAGATCCAAGTCCAAAGGAACCAAAAAAAAAAAAAAACGACTAAAAGATTAAACGAAAAGGGTTCAATACACTAAGTAGACCAAAAACTAAAATAATTCTAAGCCAGGCAAACCTACTTAGGTTTCACCTAAACGGATCCGTTTAGGTGAAACCTAGATAGGTTTGCTTTTACATATATATATATATATATATATATATATATATATATATATATATAAATATTTTTGGCATCTGAAGGAAACAAATAGGACACCTAAAGTTAAATGGAAAATTATAAACAAGGCTAGAACATGTAAAACTTGGGATGACCCATGCCCTTTATGCCTCTATGAGAAATTGCACATAATTAAGCTTCTAAATAATAATAATCTATTAAACAATAGACACGAGTTTTTTTTGTAGGCATCATCAGATTTTTGGTTTGAACTATTAGCTAAAAACTAGCATACAATATAATAACTTGTTTAATCCATAGCCCACTCATCAGATTCATGGTTTGAATAATTAACTAAAAACATGCATACAATATAACACCCTTCATAATCCATAGCCCAAATAAAGTTTAAATACCCTAAAAAAAGATAACCCTTTATGAAGTCGTCAAAAAACAAACGTACGACAGTTTTTTTATATGCACAAATCCCTTTCATAAAAAAATAAAATAAAAAAATAAATAAATCTCCATAGACATGCAAACTAGACGAGGGTTAATACATCTTCCGTTTCAAATTTAGACACCCACACCTTTCCTTGACTTGACATCTACGAAAGTAACTCTATACTGATACTTATTATTAACACCCAACACTCCTACCCAATTTAAACAATTCGCCCTAGCTGTTACCATGGAAATTTTGATTTCAATTTTTTAAAACACGTAAATTTCAGAAACACGTTATTCCAAAAAAATTTCGCTTGAAGATGGAACAGAGCTTATTTTAACTCAATTTAATTTAAATAATTATATTGAAGTTTTCGGCTCTTGTTTTGAAACATTTACTTCTTATGTCGCGATTTGGAATCATATTTTAAATGAATAATTATATATATATATATATATATATATATATATATATATATATGTATATTGATTTTCCAAGCTTAGTTTGTATGTGGCACAAGGCTGAAAGTAAGGGGCACCCAGTGAGGATAGAACTCACAACTCATTCGTAATTTTTCTAGCGAGACAAGCTTGCTAACTATTACACTACCTTGAGGTGCCCAATATATATATATATATATATATATATATATATGTGTGTGTGTGTGTGTGTGTGTGTGTGTGTGTGAAATGGATGACGTACAACAATTATTTAATATATCTTCTGTTTATACGTTATTTTATATTTATTTAAGTTATATTTATAGATATAATTTAAGTAAATTGTGTTTTTTTAATTAATTAAAGCATATAATATATATTATACGTGTATGTATGTGTGTGTGTGCATGTGTGTGTGATTTCATCGGACTAAATTTGTTACACTGGTGCGACTACACATGCGCACGAACGAGGCGGAGGTGCTGGGAACCACTCTGTCCACTCGTTCATACTTTCCCAAGTGTATTAGCACGTGAGTGAGTGTAATGAACTCGACTGGTATTCGAACTTGTCACGCCGATTCGTCAATTCGAGCCGGAATTCAGTACTCCATTGTGTCCCCTCCGCCGAATTTAAATTCGTTTAAAAATCTCAGAAAATGAGCATAGCAAATTCACTAACCATCATATCTATGATTCATTTTGACACTTTAGCGTGTTGTTATGGTTAACAAGCTTGTCTCGCTAGATCAATTACGATATAATAGTGAGTTTGATCCTCACTAAGTACTCCATACCTACAGCCTTGTGCCACATCTAAGCTACGATTAGTAAATTAGAGCACCTCAACGTGGTGTAGTGGTTAGTAAGCTTCCCTCGCTATAAAAATTAGTGCTACGAAGTGAGTTCGATCCCTGCTGGGTGCTTCATACTTTTAGCCTTGTGTCACACCTAATCTATGTTTAGAAAATAACCATATTTAAAATTTAATTCAGAATATATAAATAAAGTAGGATGTCTACTAAGGCGCATAGAAAATCCCTATTGCAGACGCCAGCTCAGGCATATTTGTATTTGCTCAACACCTTCTTATCTAGCGTGATCAGCAGTCTGAACAAGGGTAACACGCTGAAACTCTCGGTCACGATGACTTGTGACTTCGTGCTAGGACAAACATCGACGGACCTCAAGGATTACGTCTATCCAATTTTCACTTACATATTTTGGATCAACTCGTGGTATGTTTTTTAGGCACTTTTCAAAGGTACTGCATGCTAGGATCACCCCCTCCAGAACGATAACATCAAGAAGTCATCTTCCTGTGTGTGGAAAATGATGGGAATAAAAGCCAGGTGCTTAGTGTAAGATTACAGAGGTTTTTCATCTTCCGTATCGCTTCAGGACATGTGTGATCATGTCTCTCTACATCTTCCTCTCTTTGTAGATCTTAGTAAGGTTTGTCTTTTTGTTATCCCTCCTAACCCCTGTTCTGCTAACCATTTGTTCAAGCTCGTTAGGCAGAATATTCACTACTTTTCTTTGTCCCTCAATATACCCTGTGTGTGTTAGTTTCTCTAAGTTCTCTTTCCTCATTAGGTGCCTTAGAAATTTCAATCGTCACTTACTGATTCTAAGTAGAAGTATTACTTTTGGTTTAATTTTCCTTAAAACTCAGTCGTTACTCACATACTCAGTCCGCGTTATGCTCAGCATCCTACTGTAGAACAGCATTTCTTTCGCCTCATGTCTCTTCTTACACATTCACTGCCATAGGGGCGGATTTATAGCAGTTCAGTACTGTCTAAAATAAATATTCTTTTTCACATGTATGTATCGGACATCTATTTGTCTAAATTTTAGATGCTCTAAACTGGATCCTATGATGTTGAAAAGCCCAAGGAACCGTACTAAAATGACACAGCATGCTACATTTAAAGAAAAACTAATAAAAAGAAACACCAACTAGTGCCAGGGTTCCAGACTTGCCAAAGATAAATCTAAGTGCAAGAAAATGGTGGCTCATTGCTCTGCGACGAGTGGAGATAGAAGAGGTATAAAATAAGTTTTTTTAGGTACAATTGCAAGAAAATTGTGACTCTTTACTCTGCGACGTAGAAGGTGCAAGAGATACAAAGTGGGTATTTTTAGGTGAAATTGTAAGAAAATGGTGGCTCTTTGCTCTGCGACGGATTAAGGTACAAGAGGTACAAAGTAGTTACTTTTTAGAGGCAAGTGCAAGAAAATGGTGGGCCTTTGCTTTACGACAGATGGAGGTACAAGAAGTACTAAGTAAGATTTTTTTTAAGTACAATTGCTAGAAAATGGTGGCTTTTTGCTCTGCGATGAATGAAGAGGTGGAATGTAGGTATTTTTTAGGTACAAATGCAAGAAAATGGTGATGAATAAAGGTACAAGGATCCAATTTTAACTTTAGATCCGTCTTCGGATATCTTATCATTGATTTTTTCGACACATTTACAATTTTGATTTGATGGGATTCTCTTTTGTAAATTATTTTCTGTGTTAGATTTAAATATTTGGTAGATATTTTTTCTTAGAATTGGTACATTTAAAGAATATGTTTAGGAAAGATCACTAGTATCAGAGTTCAAACACAAGAACAAATGAATAACAATTTGGGAAATCATTAAAATGTTTAAGTAGAACAAAATATTCTCCATCTCGAAGATGGTCAGCTCATTCTATGACTCCAGCAATTATTAAATGTCTTTTGCAAGTTTTATCATTTCAAGAGTCAGATTAGGATAAAAATGGAGTACTTTCACTCTTTCAGGGCTTTTTGTCTAGTGTCTTGACAGAGTTCAAAATCTTTTGCACGGCTTTGTAGTCGGGGGTGATATTTTCTACCCTGCGGTCCCATTTCCATAGACGCAACCTTGCAAGCTCATCAATACTCTATCGTTATTTCCATGGCAAATGTTCAGATGAGCTCCACTCATTAGCTCCACAAGTTCAGACCTTTACAGCTAGGACATTTACATCGTCTTTTTTGTGTGTGTGTGTGGGGCATATTCTCCAATATGCAGCCTCTTTCGTACACAGACTAATGTAATAAACAGTTAATCGTTAACTCCTCGCCCTCAGTAAAAGTAACTGCTGTTTAAATAGTCTTGTGAGAATGTTCAGCTACTCCACAACAATTTTGACTATAAGACTCTACTTTGAGTGACTCTCAAGCCTTATATTACATTGGTTCCTTTTCTATGGCTTACCAACCTTTGTGGGTTATCTAAAAGCCAGAAAAGGTTTTTAGTTTCTAAATGTTTTTGAGATAATAACGGTTTTATTATACAAGTCTTACGGTTTAACACATAGATGGGGAAGAAGAAGTGGTTCATATGTTTCCCAAGGGTTTTTGCGCGTAAGTGAATATAATGAACACAAATGCATTGGAACTCTGATTAACGATTCCGAGCCATTATATATTACGCCACACGTATATTCAAGCTTACAGCACCAGGTATTACCATCTCTTGATTGACCAGGCTCGATGTTGCTTAACTTCGTGATGTTGCTTATACCATTCGGTGATCCTGGCATTCCCAAGCGATCACCCATCAGGAACAACATGTGTTTCAACGTGATAGGCCATAAGCCATACAACCAGCACATCAAAGCTTGCAATACCTGGCATTCCCAAGCGATCACCCATCAGGGTACTGACCAGGCTCGATGTTGCTTAACTTCGGTGATCGTGCCGGAACATGTGTTTCAACGTGATAGGGCCATAAGCCATACAACCAGCACATCAAAGCTTGCAATACCTGGCATTCCCAAGCGATCACCCATCAGGGTACTGACCAGGCTCGACGTTGCTTAACTTCGGTGATCGTGCCGGAACATGTGTTTCAACGTGATAGGGCCATAAGCCATACAACCAGCATATCAAAGCTTGCAATACCTGGCATTCCCAAGCGATCACCCATCAGGGTACTGACCAGGCTCGACGTTGCTTAACTATCGTCCCGGAACATGGCATTCCAGCACATCAAAAGTTGCAGCCCCAAGCGATCATCTATCAGGGTACTGACCAGGCTTGACGTTTCTTAACTTCGGTGATCATAACATGTGTTTCAAACCGGCATATCAAAGCTTCAATACCTGGCATTCTGCCATCATCTAAGGACCAGGCTGGTTTCTAACTAAGAAACCGGTAAAATGTAATGCTGCCATAAGGATGGTATAAGAGAAAAGTTAGTTAAAAAATATTGGTGTATATTGACGAGTGTCTATCTGACTGTAGAATGGTCAGGAATGTGTGTTTTCTATCTCTGCAATTCATTTCCACTCACGTATAAAGAAAAAAAAACAACAAAATATCAAGAGTTTCAGGAGGCCTCGATATCACTTGCTGGAATTTAATTAAAATAATTATCTCATAAATTCAAAACAATATTAATTTTAATTTATTAACTTTTCTAATTTAATTTAAATTTGTTCTGTATTTAAAAGAAAACTAATTTATGACAATTTTCTTAAAAAAAAGAATGGGCCAAAATATAAGAATTCTTTTATGACGTGAGTAACAAACAAAAAAACGGTTGAAGTGTTTTTGCTGGAATATTGTATTGAAATTCAATCAATATGCAAAATTTGGCAATAATGTAATCTTGAAAAGAATATTCAAGATATTTTTGCATTTGGATCGAAATTGTGCCCTTCAAGCAATCGGGTCGAAAATAACCTATTTTCCTGCCACATTTCTTTCCACGTTGGGATTCATGACAGAAATAAAAATAAATATATATATATATATATATATATATATATATAAATATATAATATATAATATTTGGTGAGGAGGTTTGATAGTAATAGATGATTGAAGGTAACTTTACTATTTAGGCACAAAAAACATGTTTAACTAAAATGCAATTGATATAATACATATCTTTGTTTCTAGCGATGCAAACTTAAGACTTTTCACACGTCATTTATGGTCACTAGACGTAAAAAAAAGGTTGTTTTATTATAAAGCCTCGTCTACAGTTAGACAGAAAAAGGATTAAAAATTAAAGAGATGCCCCAATTGAAAAATTCTCATTATAGTTTCAATTTCAAATAACATGAAATCTCTTATTTTGCGCGGATTATCAGTTGCAAATCAATCAGCTTAACTACCGATGCTTGTTCAATCGATATAAATTCTAAGACAATCAGACTTTTCTAAAGTTTACAGCGTCCAGACATTCTTTAATAAAATCTACGTTCAACATTTTTCACTGTTACTAGAATTCCTTTATACTGAAGTTTACCCAAAACACAGCTCAAGTGAAACTCAAGGTAGATGGTAAATGATTATGAATACGGAGTTATCATATGAAGGAAATAGGTGCGGTTAAGATTCTGTATTCCGGAAAGTTTACACATGGAGTTTATTCCACAAAATGGAAGAAAAGTTTTGCATTTGGTTCGGTTTGTTTTATGACATATCAACCTCAAAGAGTTATTTAAAGATTTAAAGAAAAGATTTAGAGAAAGCTATTTTCATACTGTTAACTGAAATTTACGTCAATTACTGTCACGTGTGGAGATATTGACGTAATTTTTAGTTAGCAATATGAAAATAGCGTTCCCTAAATTCTTCCAATTGCTATGGACATTTTGTTCTGTTATTATTAGTTACTTTGTTTAGTAAATTCATTTCGTTTTTGCCTTGAAAAAGTCCACATTGGACAAAAACGCGTGGGTAACTATTACAGTTTTCCCATTGTCTCTTTCAGTTTGAGTATTTTTTTTTGGTGGGGAACAGACTCATTTTTGTTTAGTGGATCTGCCTTCAGTATCTGTCTATATTTCTGAGATACGACATTCCAACCACCTAAAGAAGGCCGGGGCGTACAACAGCCGAAACGTTGTTATAGATATGGCGACAAAGATGAGGACAATAGTCCGAATAATGTAAATAATGTACATAATACCTCATCTCAGAAATATAGACAGATACTGAAAGGCCGAAACGTTATAATGAATATGGTGACAAAGATGAGGACAATAGTCCAAATAATGTAAATAGTATACATAATACCTCATCTCAGAAATATAGACAGATACTGAAGGGCCGAAATGTTGTAATAAATATGGGGACAAAGATGAGGACAATAGTCCGAATAATGTAAATAGTGTATATAATACCTCATCTCAAAAATATAGACAGATAATGAAAGGCCGAAACGTTGTAATAAATATGGCGACAAAGATGAGGACAATAGTCGGAATAATGTAAATAGTGTACATTATACCTCATCTCAGAAATATAAACAGATACTGAAGGGCCGAAATTTTGTAATAAATATGGTAACAAAGATGAGGACAATAGTCCGAATAATGTAAATAATGTACATAATACCTCATCTCAGAAATATAGACAGATACATCGAACACTGATTGAACCAGTCGTACCGTATGGATATGAAACTTGGACATTATCTGTTCGTCTTGAAAGACGATATTGATAGAAAATATAGAAATCTACTTAGAAAAATGCAGTGCATCAATTGGAGATCTCATGCAGGGTTTAACACAATTTACAGAGAACTGAGACTAATCTCTCTTAAGATCAAACAAAAGCGATTGCCGTTTGCCGTACGAGCTAATAGACCGGGTTCTATAGTCTTGGATGGCAATTGGTCTACCGCAGAAAGAAACGGCATTCTACTGCAGTAAAAAATCTGCCTCGTCAGTTATGTATCGAAAGATACATGATCACCTAAGTGTGTCCCATGCTTGACACATAACTGTCATGACAGCTAACTGTCTATATTTTGTTTAATATAGTCGTTCGTGGACAAACTGAATTCGTGTACCAAAATTTTGATTATTTTAGTCCATTGCAACTTAGTTTTTTTTTTCTCTACCTGTCTCTTAATAATATTAGTTATTGTTGCGTCGTAGATAGGAAAGGCTCGCACACATATAAAAAATAAAATGTAGTTTATTCCGGCGAGTAATACGGTACACGGTTGTGAACATAGACTAATGTAATAAACAGTTAATCGTTAAGTCCAGGGGATTTACCCGGTACCTCCCTACAAGGTAGGATGTAGCACAAGGCCGACTTTAAACATGGCGCTTTCCGAGCGTGTATGCGCGGGAAAAAAGGATTAAATAATTGAATCATTTATAAAAAAAAAAAAAGCCAACACTCAATAACAACAACTGCGAATCCGGCCTCTAAGATTTACTATATCACCAAATTCACGATGCAACACTTTAACCCAATTAGGCTATTGTTCCGTGATACCACGAGCCACCGAGCGGACAGGGTGGTCGTCTAATCCTTTCTTTTATGACATCTTTCTGGAAGTGTCATCTCGCGAAAGTTGTCTTTTCTAGACACCCATGGCTCGGTAATCAGGGTTGGACATTGGGGATCTGTGGACAGCAATACAGGATCGAGCAGTTTGGAAAGGGGTTTTCAATGGATTCCCCACTAACCACGGGGAGGTCAAAGGTTGAAGATAATGATGAACTTTTTGATCTGCCATTGTCGTTATCCATTTCATGTTTATTCTTTCTGGAATCTATCTTACCCACCACAATAGATTAAATAGTAGGACTTGTATATAGAGCAATCCTTTACACTATTTTCATTGTTCGAACTGTTGTCCTCATCTTTGTTGCTTTAACCAAAATGTTTCCGCCGTTTTATACTCTGGCCTTCTTCAGGAGGTAGATTGTTTTGTTTGATTCTTATGGATATGAATATCCTTGTGACTATCTCAACAAAAGGAAGAGAATCGATGTTTGTATCCCTACAATACGTATATTCATGTGTGAATATAATAATGTATCCATAAGTCTTGCATCTATGTTATTTTTTAATAGTTCTTTCAGTAGCTGATACATTCGGGTGTTTTTGTCGCGAAACCAGCTCTAGACTGGCTGCCACACAAGCCATGAAGTAAATTATCCCACTTGGAATTTGAATTTCCGCAGACTGTCTTAGAGGAGGAGGTCGTCTCATCCTTAATTCTATGGCATCCTTCTTGAGGTGTCTTCTCGCGAAAGTTGACATCCCCAGACACCATGTCACGGGACTCAGAGTTAGATATTGGAGATCTGTGGACGGCAATGCAGTACCGAATAGTGTGGAAAGGGATTGCCAATGGCCTTCCGACCAACCACGATGAAGTGGAAAGATGATGATTATGATGTTGATGAACATGTCTTGAGTTTTCAGGTCAATGTTTCGGTTTCGTAGCAAGTGGTGGTGTTGAGTGAAACTACCTCTAGCGCAGCCTATTCTCTCATCAGTTTAGCAACACTTTGAATGAATCTGCATAGGCTCTTGCTAAAAGTTCTTATCTTTTGAATAAATGTTCATATATTTTGAATTAAAGCACTTACGTTTTTTTTAATGGACCTCTAAATATAATTAATTCTAAAATACCCTTGTCGGTTGTTTTGAAGAAGTCGACACGGATTGGCTTTACTTGTCTTCTCCATCTAAGCAATAATCCAAAGACGGGGGAAGTGAAATATAGAATGTGCCGATTGCCTGCTTGATTGAAAATTGGTTCAGCCTTTTTGACTTCATGTTTGATCACTCGATGGAATTCGACAAGAAGACGTGACGTTTGTGAAGTGGTAGCGATTTAAAAGATTTTGTCTGTTAGTCGCTTCAACGGATCTTTACGTGTTAAGTCCGGCTTCCTTTATTATTTCCTTCCTTTCGTTGTCATTTACAAAACATCCATTTTTCTTTCCTTCTTTCTTGTCACTTTAACAACAATTATTGAGAATCTTTCTGTTATTTGTTTCCTGATTGCTCTCTCGTCATTCTTTTCTCATTCGGAACTTTATATAGAAACTTTTTCGTTCTCAATTTCGTTTTTCTTGTTATTTTTCTTTCTCAGTTTTCTGGC